AAGAACAAGCACAAGTTAGATATTCTATTATGAGCTTACCGATCAATCTATAATCTCAAACATGCAGGAATGAAAAAGAGAACTACACAAACTGAAGAGAAACTGTTCTGTTCTCTAAAATAAAACTCTAGTAAAGGCCATTCCAGTTCAACTTAATCCTAATAGTAACTCCAACATCCTCAAACAAAGAACATCCACGGCATCCAGCCAAACTATAACTACACACCCATAGTTGTTTTTCTAGCAGCACACAAGGCTGGACGGTCAAACTTAATCAGTACGGCCATGGCACAATGAGCATTTCATCCTGCTGGAATGCTGCGACTCCACTGTTGTTTGGCTGCAATAACCGTGTGCGAGGCGACGTCCTGCCATGACGTGATGCATCTGTTTACCTGGGTATTCTGGAAGTAGTGTCTCCAAAGAGGCCTGATCTTATCCTGACAATATATATTTTTTGCACTATTTTCTGTTTTTCTTTTCTTTTCTTTTTTTTTAACCTTATTAAACTTTTTAAAAATACAAAAAATATATACCTATGATAAATTATAAAAATAATAATAATATTATTATACTATGTTTAAGTTCTGTTTCAGCAATGTTTTATTTATTTTTTATTAAAATGTCTTTATTTATATATCATAAGATGGCATCAGGTTGCCTTGGTTGTTATTGTAAAGTCACTTTAGATAAACAATTATCTGAATGAAAAAAATAATATTTTAGTAAATTTCTCAAAAATGTCATCCATTCTGCAAATTTGATTAGTTATTAAAAAATTTATTAAAAAATGAAACACAAAAGTACTACAATATAAATATATATTTTTTAAATAAATGCATAATTTATTGGAGTTATTTGCTAGCACAGATTAAAATTTTTGGAACTACAATTATGCTTTTTTTAATTTGTATTATCTATCTATCATCTATCTATCATCTATCTATCTATCTATCTATCTCATAACTGCGCAATACTCTGTTTCTTATGCATTTTTCTATTCTATAATATTTATTTATTAAATGACACAAAAGCACACTAATGTAAATAAATATGCATCATTTATTGGAGATATTTGAAAGGCACAGATACATTTATTTCAGGCAAACATCAGTTTGTTCTTTCATAGTCCAAATACAGCAAAACACATATTAAAATAAGCCAAACGTGGCATATAACAGCATGTCGTTTACAGCGGTAAATTGACAGCACATAAAATACAGTAGTAGATAAATAAAATAATAGTACACAGTACAGCAGTAGTGCATAATTTATAAATTCATTTACAATAGTGAATTTAAAAAGGCACATAATGAAGGCAAACATGTACATTAGAACCAAAAACAGGCCGAAAACTGTTTAAAAATATCTTGATAGTGGTAAATTAACAATACAGAATGCACTGAACTAGAATTATATATATAAAAATATACTGTAATAATATCCCATAAATATATCAATATAAAAAATAAAGTTGCAGACATAATATATTTATGATTTAGCGTCTTTTCTTCAAGTAGTGTGAAGGCTGAAGTGTTTTATCGTTTGGACAGTTGATCCGAGAGCCAATCCAGTCCTTCATATAAACCTGATCCTTGAACCGCACATGTGGCCTGAACAAACCACTGAGAGACAGAGAGAGAAGCACGTGTTTATTTGACTGAAACACACACTGACAGCATGCACTACATGTCAAACAGAGTCTGTGTGTCTCACCTGTCTTCCTCTCAGTGCGTGTAAACCCAGTCTGTCTGTCAGCTCGTGGACCGCCATGGCTTTGGGTAAATCCTGCTTGTTAGCAAGAACTAACAGAACTGCGTCTCTCATCTCGTCCTCCGCCAGCATCGCGTTTAGTTCCTCTGCTGCTGTTTCAATCCGGTCATGATCACTGCTGTCCACCACAAAGATCAGACCCTGAATCACACAAACACACAGAATAAGGTGACATTTTCAAAGCTAAGGCCAGATATTATATAACTGCAAAATCATACTGCATACAGTCACGTTTGCATTAAACTCTTACCTCAGTGTACTGATAGTAATATTTCCAAAGACCTCTGATTTTGGTCTGACCACCGACATCCCAAACAGTGAAGGAGATGTTTTCATATTCAACTGTTTCAACATTAAAACCTAGAGGGAAAAAATGAATCGGATATTTAATAAAGAAGACAATTAGTCCAAATAAGGCAAACATTCATAGATTTATTTAAATACATCTGCTTTGATGAAATATTTCATACCAATAGTTGGAATAGTTGTGACAACTTCACCAAGTTTGAGTTTGTAGAGGACTGTTGTTTTGCCTGCTGCGTCCAGACCAACTTGGAGAAGAAATATTTGCATTTATTCGGCAATGGAAATATTGATATATCATTATATTTTGCCCTATGATCATTAAATGTATTTAAGCACATAATAAGGTACACAGTAGCCAAACTATAAGACTTTAAATTCAAAGTTTGGACAAAAATATGTACTCACCCATAAGCAACCTAATCTGCTTTTTCGGATAGAGACGAGAGAAAATCTGAGAGAAATAGTTGCCCATGTTTGCAATAAGACAGAACCGCTGTTGCTGAACCTAAACGCCTAGAGTTAAAGGCTCAGACTGGTAATGGTGTGTGTGTGTGTGTTTATATAGGCTTTTTACTTTCGGTTTGATTGACAGCTCAACACACCACACGCGCTCAGTTTGTCTCGCGGCAAATCCAACGCGTTCGATATGACGTCACCTACTGTACCACGTGTCCAAACAATATTTTTATTTACAGTTTAAAGTTGGACATCTTTGAGCTCATTTGAATTAAATTGACCAAAATAAACATTTGGGCAATATGAACAGTGAGAACATAAACCGTAAAAATGTTTTGTTAAAAATAAACAAATAGCAAAACACTGTGTTAATGTTACATGCGTTTTGGTGACGGTGTATGTGTCATTAAATTATGTTAATATTCCAACCTATTTGAGCAATTATTGAGCAATGGACGACCATGTGATGGCTTAAAGTTCATTATAAGTGGCTCTTCAAGTAACCATAAACAACAATAACATATGGACCAGTTTCACAGCAAACAAACAGCAGAGTAACACATATGACAATAAAATAATACTAAAACATTAACTAAACAACACAACACAGCATAAAACAGTCCAGTGTACATTACTCATAGCGACAATTAGATACTATTGTTGTCTTACAATATTTCACCATAACATTTTCCATAAATGTTTTACTTTTAAAAAGCATTTGTACAATATTTTACAGTACAGTTACATTTAATGTCTTAATTGTTGTCATATATGGTTACTTACAGTTTTTACTAACATGTTTTACTTACAAATCTTTTTTTTTGAAGATGGCATCAGGTTAAGATAAAAACATTAGCTAATTACAAATTAATAGTTAGTATCAAAAATGTCATCCATTCTGCAAATATTAGTTATTGAATGTGAAACATAAACACGCTACAATTTTTTTGTATGAAATCATCATTTATTGGATCTATTTTTTCATGATAAATTATAAAAACATAATATTATGATAAGTCTTTCAAAGTTTTTTTTTTCTTTCAGAGTTTATAGAACCAAGAATTAAAACCCAAAATTAACAAAACATGTTTTCAGAAGTAACCTCACAAAATCAAATATACAGTTTTGATTTAACATTAATAAATCAAAGTGCATTTGAGATGATAAACAGCTGGAGGCTGTTACATTCAATTACTGTATGTATTAGTTTTGAAGTATCAGGCCCCAAAAATCCAAAAATAAAGTTCCAGCATTATGGTTTTTATAATCAACTGTCTCCACATTAAAACCTACAGATGGCAGAATAATGAACAGTTTGACATGGCATGATCAATTTATCATGATTTCGATAAATTGCAGCTTGCTTTGAGTTTCTTACCAATAGTTGGAATAGTTGTGACAACTTCACCAAGTCTGAGTTTGTAGAGGACTGTTGTTTTGCCTGCTGCGTCCAGACCAACTTGGAGAAGAAATATTTACATTTATTCCACAATGAACATGTAGAAAGATTCATAATTGAAATATCTTCTTATATTTCACTTAGCAGTTAGGCCTAATTAATATGTTAGTAATATTTAATGAAATAGGATAATTATAAATATAAATAAATAGAGTGATAACATTTCATATACATTATTTGTCATAGTAAAATAATAGTTTGTAAAATAATAAGTTAAGATTAGGATTTTAAAACATTTTGAGAGAAAAAAAAAACATTTACTCACCCATAAGCAACCTCATATCTTTTTTCTTCAAGAGACGGGAGAAAAGGTTGGAGAAGAAGATGCCCATGTTTTTGATACAGCAAGATGAAAAAGCTGTTTGCTTTATTAATTGACAGTAAATGCTTACTGTTAAAGGCTCAGACTGGTAATGGTGTGTGTGTGTGTTTATATAGGCTTTTTACTTTCGGTTTGATTGACAGCTCAACACACCACACGCGCTCAGTTTCTCTCGCGGCAAATCCAACGCGTTCGATATGACGTCACCTACTGTACCACGTGTCCAAACAAACTTTTGATTTACAGTTTAAAGTCGGAAATCTCAGCTAAATTAATTGTATAATTCGTCTATACAAATCTTGTTACAATCTAAAGTTTAAAATCTCTTGGTTGAATAAAAGGAGGATCGTATGCGGTGTTTCAGGCTTTGTAATGTAATTCTGAAGTATTGCTGAAGGGGTTTTACTACATAAACAATTGTTGTTAAATTAAAATTATAGCTGTTTTTGCAACGCCATTCTGTTAGTGACATTCTGTGGTGGAAATTTCAAATAATTAAATAACATTTACAATTTTATCTCATATGTCACATCTCAAGCTCTTTCTGACAACCAAAACTAATAACCCTTGTTTATCTGACTTCGGTTTAGACCGACACGTGGTACAGTAGGTGACGTCATATCGAACGCGTTGGATTTGCCGCGAGAGAAACTGTGAGCTGTCAATCAAAGCGAAAGTAAAGAAGCCTATATAAACCCGCACACAATCACAGCTTCATCACACAAACAACCCGAGCTTCATCCTCCGGACTGATATTTCCACTAAATACAGCAAACAGCGCTTTCACCTGCACTTTATTTTAAAAATGGGCGTATACTTCTCTAACCTTTTCTCGCGTCTCTTTGAGAAAAAAGAGATGAGGTTGCTTATGGGTGAGTACATGTTTTACTTTGCTGTTATTATTTGATTCTCATTCAGTTTTTAACAAATATCGCTCTAGTGCAAATAGATGCATGTTAATTAGGCCTATAACATTTTAGAAAATATTCCAATTATAAATCTTGTACATGTTCATTGTCTAATAAATGCAAATATTTATTCTCCAAGTTGGTCTGGACGCAGCAGGCAAAACAACAGTCCTCTACAAACTCAAACTCGGGGAAGTTGTCACAACTATTCCAACCCTAGGTAAGAAAATGAAGGTCAAACAAATGTAGTAATTGAGAAAAAAGAGATGAGGTTGCTTATGGGTGAGTACATGTTTTACTTTGCTGTTATTATTTGATTCTCATTCAGTTTTTAACAAATATCGCTCTAGTGCAAATAGATGCATGTTAATTAGGCCTATAACATTTTAGAAAATATTCCAATTATGAATCTTGTACATGTTCATTGTCTAATAAATGCAAATATTTCTTCTCCAAGTTGGTCTGGACGCAGCAGGCAAAACAACAGTCCTCTACAAACTCAAACTCGGGGAAGTTGTCACAACTATTCCAACCCTAGGTAAGAAAATGAAGGTCAAACAAATGTAGTAATACTTAAAGGGACAGTCACCCAAAAATGAAAATTCTGTCATCATTTACTCACCCTCAAGTTGTTCCAAACCTGTCTGAGTTTCTTTATTTTAGATATTTTGAAGCATGTTGGTAACCAAACAGTTGACGGAAACCATTGACTTCCATAGTATGGAAAAATGCAATGGAAGTCAATGGCTACCGTCAGCTGTAGCCAAACTGAAGTACTGCAGCATAAAGACTGCTTGAATTGTGTCTGATAATGACTGACTGATTCTCTCTAGGTTTTAATGTTGAAACAGTTGAATATAATAACATCTCATTCACCGTTTGGGACGTCGGCGGTCAGGACGTTATCAGACGCCTCTGGAGACATTACTATCACAACACTAAGGTATGATCTGTCACAAAAATAGTGTTTAGTAGCTATTATTTTAACATTTCAAATCTAATCAGCTACTTTTATGAACTGTATTGAGTGTAAGTGTGTGTGTTTGTGTGATTCAGGGCCTGATCTTTGTGGTGGACAGCAGTGATCATGACCGGATTGAAACAGCAGCAGAGGAACTAAACGCGATGCTGGCGGAGGACGAGATGAGAGACGCAGTTCTGTTAGTTCTTGCTAACAAGCAGGATTTACCCAAAGCCATGGCGGTCCACGAGCTGACAGACAGACTGGGTTTACACGCACTGAGAGGAAGACAGGTGAGACACACAGACTCTGTTTGACATGTAGTGCATGCTGTCAGTGTGTGTTTCAGTCAAATAAACACGTGCTTCTCTCTCTGTCTCTCAGTGGTTTGTTCAGGCCACATGTGCGGTTCAAGGATCAGGTTTATATGAAGGACTGGATTGGCTCTCGGATCAACTGTCCAAACGATAACGATCACACTACTTGAAGAAAAGACGCTAAATCTGAACTGAATGTATATATTATGTCTCCAGCTTTATTTTGAAATATGTATGGAATATATATATATATTGTTACACATCTTAACATATAATTCTAGCTCAGAGCTTCCTGTATAGTTAATTTTACCACTAATTATATTTTTTTAAATCATTGTTGGCCTGTTTTTGGTTCTAATGTACATGCCTGCCTAAACTATATGCCTTTCAAATAAAGTTTGTATTTATATACAAAATAATTAATGTTTTATTTATATTTATTAATGCTTTATTCATTAAACAGTTGTATTTTTTTTATATATTTAAAATATAGAAAATTACCAGTTTACAGCAGATTAGTTTTACTACAGTAAAAATGATCATAGTACAATTTTTTCTAATCTAAAAACAAACATTACAGAAATAATCATCAAATAAGCCTAAAACAACTTTCTGTGTGATTTCTATACTGGAATACTAGAATTAAAAGATACTAGAGTTAAATAAAAATACTAGAATTTAAAGGCAATGGAACAGAAATAGATTTATGCCCAACACAGCTCCATTATTAACATTTATTTTATATGTAATTAAATATCTTCATACATAATTCTAGATTAGTACATTCTGTATAGTTAATTTACCACTATATATATATATATATATATATATATATACATAATATTTTTTTCACATATTTCTTTTCATTTAAAATAGAATAGCAAATGACCAGAATCAAGGGTGTAGGTTTGATTTTGGCATTGATGGGAACATAACGGCAGACAACAGATTTAATTTAATTGTTTGAACAAAATTATTGCTACGGACAATTTAGTAGTGGCTGGATATTGGTAGAGACATGTCATAGCATCTCTACTAAACTCTACAGCCTTGGTAATCATTATGTAAAGTTAGCTACAACACTTGATCATACCTCCCCCCCCTGACTTTTTATTTGTTTTTTAACAATTCCACCACTGGTGGTAACTATGACAATAGTACATTTTAGAATTAATATTATATCTATTTTGGGTTCTAATGTACATGTCTGCTTACAATATATGCCTTTCAAATACCTTAAATAAATGTAGTATTTATTTACAAAATAATTAAATTATTAATTCAAAATTTTACATGTAAAATATAATAGAAAATAATCTATAATAGTTTTACTGTGGTAACAGTTTTTCAGTGTACAACCAGACATTTATTACAAAAATAATCATCAAATAATTTTGAGTGATTTCTACACTAGAATACTAAAACTGAATAGATAGTAGAATTAAAAGGCAATGGAACAGAAATAGATTTGTGCCCAACACAGCTCCATTATAGACATTTATTTACCCCTGAAAAAAATATACTTGTTCTTCATGAGGGGAACAGAACAGTGAAATTCTTTCTGTTGAAAAGCTACTGTGCATAATGTGGTTACAGAAAAAAATAAACATTAGTGGTTAATGGTTTGATAGAAAAATATTGTTTATGCTGAAACATCCGACTGTGGTTTGGTGCGCACGGTTACTTCTTTTACAAAAATGTATATCATTCTGTAATAATCACCACGGCAACACATAAAACATCCTGTACGGTAACTACCGATATAAATGAGCAGATCAAAAATACAGACGTTAGAAATATCCAGCAGTATAACAAACAGGCAACGTGTCAAAAGCTATTCGTTATTTGTGTATTAGAATATACCTCTATAAAATTCAAGCATGTTAAAATAGGTTTGTCCTTCAAATATAAAACACCAATGGTTGCCCAACAACCAGCTTTCACAGGTTTGCACCAGAAACTACATCCGCAAGGCGTCCCATGATTCTCTGCTGTGACAAAACAGAGCCAGCATCCTGTGTCTTCCGGTCTTTGGTCGTCTACCGGTTTGTCGTTCAAGCTCAAGGCACCAACAGGAAGCTTGCATTTCCATCTTTAAATATCCAGCACGCATGTACTTCATGGAATATGACCAGTATTAAAGCACAAGCCATGGTTATGCACATATTGAGTAGAAACAAATAGTACATCGTCTGTTGCTCGACACATTCGACAGATAAAGTGCAACTAACAGAAGCTCTTACTAAAGCTCAAAAACAATCATTTAAAATGCATTTCATCCTGTCACGTGACATTAAAGCATTGCCAAACTACATACTTCGTCCTAAAAGAGAGGCAAAATCATTCAAATCAAGCTAATCAGAAAATCAAAGGCACCAGAAAATGCAAAACAAACCGTTTTCACCTTTATAGGTCAAGCGTGTGACTATATTGTGTGTAAGTATACAGTACAGGATCATTTTCTGAATGACGATGTATATATGATATTGAAATCGAAGGAAGACCACAATCTCAATGCATCGGCACTGATGATTAAATAACTAGACTAGTTCTTTCAGTTTAGGTCAGTGAAGGTGGAAAGGAAAGGAAAAGATGATGGCTATTTTCCCTTTTGTTGTTAAGTCAGTTTATGAATTAAAATTAAAATAAAAATAAATACATATAAAACTGTACTGGTCTTTGCCTACATTATGAGAGTTAATCAATGCCAGACACCTGCAATAATGTGCTTACTGAGCTTGTAAAGATGAAATATATTCACACTCTCTTCATCATCATTTACAGGTTAGTAGTGTTGGTCTCTGTAAAACAGGACCTGTTATTGCAATATTACCTCAATGAACACGATTCAAAACACAGCTGACTTTCATGAAAACATTTCCAGGGAACATTTCACCACAAACTATAATTGAAAAAATATTGTATAAATAAAAGCCCATTTTTAGAACCATTAATATTTTTAGCATTTGATATTTTCTTCTCTATATCGATGATAATTCTCATCATTGCATTATAACTTGATGTAAAAAAAATAATTACTGAAATAATATGTAACAATTTAATAATACTTATTCTCACTATCCATGATAATTCTGATTACTGCATTATAGCTTGATGTAAAAAAGGCTAAACAATTACTGAAATAATATTTAACAATTTAATACTTCAACGTGTAAATATGTCATTCTGTAATATGTAAAAAAAGAGATTTGTTGCATTATAGTAATGAAATCTGGTTGGGAAATGTGTTTAATTATCATGCAAATACCACAATGCAAAAAAAACCCAAAAAGTTAATATAAAAATAAAAATATAATATAAATTGCAAATTTTGGCATTGCAACAGTGCATATATTAATTTAACAAATTTAACAAAATTCAATTTAAATACAATGATAAAAAATTAATGGAAAACTCTGGGGTAAATGTATAATTATGTAAAAATGTAAAATGTAAAAAATATAAATTTTCATTACTTTAATGCAACAAATTCCATTTTGACAGAATCGACAGTATTAAATTGTTAAATATTAGTTCAGTAATTGTTTTTCTGTTTTTGTTTTTTTTACATTACGCAATAATGAGAATCCATGAATAATGGGAATAAGAAAATCTCAGGATCATTACAGAATGTATACACATTAATATATATGGACTTAATGGACTTAAAATAGGCTTCATTTTCTTTTTGCAAAATATAATTTCCTCATTTTGGGGTGAAATATGACCTGGACATGTTCTTGACAGGTTTCATGTTCTTGCTCCAGATGTTCTGGTGTCACAGCACAACCATGCACAGATCTCCATTCAGAAGCAGATCTCTCTCTCCTGACTCCATCTTCATGTTTAAAAGCAAAGGGAATGTTAATCTCACACGGTGAGACTTACAGCAGAAAGACTCAGAATGTGTCCGTGACACGCGTGCGTCATTCTGCCATCATTCATCCCTGTGGCGCTCAGGCACAGTCACTTCCTGTGCGGTTTTTGGCAATGCCAGCATTGTCCGTTCAAGGGCGGCAGATCTGCAGCAACAAGTGCACTTGAGGAGAATCCAGCAGAAATCGGGCACGTTCGTGTCTGTTAACCCTGTACGGTCTGGTCTGGTCTGTCAGAGCTGGCTGAGGGTCAGGGGCTCGGCGGTTTGTGTAAGATGCCCTGCAGGTCCTCTGGAAGAGACAGGATGATGCTCTCAATATGGGCCTGTAGTTTGGGAAGAGTTCCTGGTTTGACAGGAAGCTGATCTTTCTCGGCCTGAGTCTGAGACACAAGATGGAAAAGCAGTGTATGAATTTAATTGCATATTTATGCAATCAATGCACACACTGTAAAAAACTATTTTCAAAGTTGTGAATAAAAACGATTACTGGGGTACATTTTATAAGAAAATACTATTTCAGTCTTTTTTTTACTTGAATTTTTACAAAATTTCAGGTTTAATTCAATGTCTATTCAAGTCTTTAATTCAAGTCTTTTTTTAAGTTCTAAACAAAGACTACTGAAGCAGGTTTTACAAAAAATATTATTTGAGTATTTCTACTTTCAAAATGTCATGTTTAATTCAATGTGTTACTTGTTGTTTATTTGTAATTGTGAAATTTACTAGCAATTTCTGAGTGAAATAGTAAAAAAAAGATTTTTCAAAATTGTAAACAAAGATTATTGGAGTATGTTTTACAAGAAATTACAATTTTCAGTCTTTCTACAACAAAATTTCACATTTAATTCAATGTTACTTGCTGTTTCTTTGTAATTATTTGTGAAATTTAATTGCAATTTCTGAGTGAAAATTGTCTATACACCATTTTTTTCAGTGCATGTGACAATAGCTATTTTTCCAAGCAAAGTTGTGAATTAAATTTGAATATCGCATAAAATATTGCAAACAAAGTGGCGTTTCCATTCTATGTGTTCAAGAGAACACATGGGAAACTGGCGCAAAATATCAGTAATAAAATAATAAAAAGTTGATACAACCAGGGATGCATGCAAGATTTTTTCCCTTCATATTAAAGGGTCATGAAACCCCCCGTTTCAGCACTGGTTAGTTCTCACTAGTTTTAAAAAATGCTAAAAAAGTGGGCGTGGTGCGCAGCGGAGTGGAGGGAGAAGAGAGGAGACAGACAACACACACAGCTTCGGGTTCAGACAGTTTCATTTCGCTCCCATCGAGTTAAAAACACAAATAAATGCACAGCCATTTGCACTCTGCATCGAAAACATATATATGAACGCGCTGTTGCACCTCTCATAACTTTTTAGGCTTATTCTGCTGCGTTTATATAAGCCTTTTGACGGCTTGTGTCACGGAGCTGTAAAAACGGTTATGCTCACCAAGTGAATGAATTGCGTTTGTGCCGAAGGCTTATTA